ATTTATCGCTCGGTTTCGGGACACCAGCTGATTTGACGGCGGAAGTGAGGTATGATGTAAGTTCCTTGTCACGTGCCTACTACAAGAAATATTATAACAACTTATTCAAAGGGAAGAAAAAATTGAAATACTTGCTAAGTCTTACCGAGATGGGTTGAGCAAGAGCATCGCAGGCAAACAATCGAGCCGCCTTTATTTCATTGAGAAGAAAATTCAAGAGCAATGCTTTCTTCTCGGTCGTACTCAGCCTCTCTTCGAGCGATCCACACGTTATCTCCTCATGAGGGCATTCTAGAAACATCATTTCAGAAGGGACTCAAGGTCAGTTAGCTTGCTGGAGGCGGGCGGTTGTTGCTAGTGTTATTGGTGGAAGGGCTGCAAGAGGGCGTTTGGCCACATTCCCACTCAGCCCTTCCACCAATGACGTTGGCGGCAACCACCCGCCCCTAGCCATCGTGCCCACTGTCTTCAAGGGTGTCCTCACACATAAATATCGATGCCCAGAGGCACTGTAGACGATAAAATTGTTCCGTAACTAATAAAATCTATGGGTGCCTATGACATTGGGGGGGGGAGCACACCAGTAAGCGCTTGTCAGAATGCCAAAGAATACTCGTCAACCTTGTCAACGCCCAAGTGTTTTATCACCTGTCAAGCACCCTGTCAAACTTGCTAAAATGGTGAAAGTTGAAAAACAGGGCAAGTAGTGCCGTTGGGGAAGGATCTTGCAAGAAATCCCCTCCCGCTTTCAAAGTTTCATTCTGTTGTATGAACCCTCCCCCTCTCCTCACCTCTCACCCTGCCCCCCGCTCCCTGAACTTCCCCGCCTCACGATTTTTCCAGAAGATTCTCCATAAAATCCTTTGGTTGCCTCCAAGATCTCCTCAGAAAACTGCAGGCGAGCGGTGGAGGATATGCAGGGGTACATATCGCACATAAAACAGGAGAAAATCGTGAAAAGTCGCGACACTATTTTCCTCGAGGGCAAATGCGACATTCCCCCTCCAGCGACCCAATACGGCATCTCGGGATCCCAACGTAACACGAGCCCTGTTGAAAACTGACTCTAGTAAATCGGATATATAGCTTTTTAAAGAGCAGGAGTTCACACGGTACTTGACAGGAATTCACTGAACTTGCCCTCGCATGTATACTTAACAAGGCTTCTATGCTGACATGATCGTACAAGGGCTTACAGAAGTGCCTCCCCACCCCCCTTAAGGTTTCTAACGACATGAAATGTAAGGTCCCTAATGCATACTAGAATTTATGAAACTTTCACATGGAAAAACAGCACAGTTTCCAAATAAGCACTACATTTTGACCCTACTTGTTACGAGGTCGAAAAGAACCCAAATTGAAAACAAATCATTCAGCTCATTCAATGACGTAATGGTATCAACTGGTCAACACCCACCGACGTTAATCACGCGGTGGAGGCGGCAAAACGAACCAGCTGTTACTCAGCGCAAAGTTCTTTGTAGTGAATTACTGACTAATAGTGACGAAAAACTTCGAAACAAACGGTTTCCAATGAAAAGTTGTGTTTATCAAAATCGAGACACCTGCTCGTTCCCAAGAGCTACCAGCGCAAAGTTGGAAGGATAAAGCTTTCGCCGTGGATCAGTCCCTTTCTGGGATGAAGCACCAGGGCACATCGTTGCTGGAGAACCTAACAGAGGGGGGGTCGTATTTGGTCGCCGGGGAGGGGGTCGTTTTTGAGCTGAGAAAAATCGGCACTATTTACCCTTTACTGCCCCAGTCATCCGAAATCAGGCCAGTTCCTGACCGACTTTTTTCTCCGTGGGCAGATTTTGCTCAAATGTTGTCTCCTGGGGTAGTTTGACCTCCAGAATACGAATATCACATTCGCTCAGCCGAAACTTCCTGGCGCCCGCGCCACAGGCGCCAATGATTTCGAGTATTTTGGCCCCGGCGCCCGTGGCGCGGGCGCCAGGAGGTTTCGGGTCAAGCCGGATGCGATATTCGTGTTCAGCGGGTCGAACTACCCCTGGAGCCAAGTTTTCAGCAAATTCTGCCCACGGAGAAAAAAGTCGGTCAGGAACTGGCCTGATTTCGGATGGCTGGGGCAGTAAAGGGTAAATAGTGCCGCGAAAAACTCTATTTTGATAGTTGTGGTAAGGGGAGGGGGTCGTACTTGCTCGCTGTTGGGAGGGAGAAGGTCGTATCTACTTCCTGACGTTCTGGAAGAGGTGGTTGACTTCCCGTGATTTTCCCTACCCCTCGACTTTTTGAAAAAAAAGTAGGGAAGTTTTCAGGAAATTTCGGGGAAAAAAGGCAGGAAGTTGGGGAAAATCTGAGGATCGGTAGAAGGAAGGGGGAGGGGGGTGTCGTATTTTCCCGGCGGCCTTCCGTCATTGAGCTTATTTGCGCCCACCCCCCCCCCCTTCCGCCGGAGACAGTTCGATGAGGAGGCCACCAGTAGGCGGCCGAGCGCGGGGGTGGGGAGGGGGTCGTTCGCAGAGACTCGGCCACCAAACGTGCCCCTGTGAAGCAGGCGTTCTGCTCACTTCAAAACTGTAAGGCGTAGATGCGATTTGGCCCATCCCATACAATGGCTTGGCAGGACCAAATCATGTATAAGCTAGTGTTCTCATCAGACAATATATAAATAGCAAGAATGCCACCAAGAACTCACCCAGTTCAGCAAGAAAGGAGCTCAGCTCAAGAAGAAACTCTAAGGTGTCGTCATTTTCGCCGAGATGTGGGACAGCTTCTTCGAGCTTGTAGAGTGCCTTTAGTTCTTCACAAAGCAGTGCCACAAACTCTCCAAAACCTTTCGTAATATCAGCGTTGACAATCATTGTAAGGTCATCAAGAACCAGCAGCTTCACTCAGTCTGAATAGCAAAAAATAGTCACGGAACCAAAATCAGTGTTTAGGCAGCGTTCAGACTTCGCGACGGCAGCGCTTCGGTCGCGCGTTCGACGCGATCGATGCAGTCGAAAGCATGCGCATCGATCGCGTCGAACGCGCGACCGAAGCGCTGCCGTCGCGAAGTCTGAACGCTGCCTTACGTTGTTGGAGATGTAGAGGAGTTGACCACTCGCCAGCACCTCCGTATGGCTTCCCCCAATTAAAGATTAAGCTTAGTGGAACTATGTGTTCTCTTTGCGACTACCCCTCCCCTCCGACGACTCCCGCAGTTGCAGCAAGACTGGGGAAATTGAGTTCCTCGAAATAAATGGTCCATTCCACAGCTGCTTTTGCACCTTATTGCAACCTTTAACAAACAGTCACAAATCCTTCGAGCAACCAATCTGTCCAGGTTGAGATTCCAGTAGTGTGAAACCTTTTCCTCGAAAAAGCCGAATTATGTTCAGAGTTCAGTCTGCAGCCATAGCTGAATCATCTTAGACTGTGAACAAAGAAGCTATGCTAAGGAATGATTCTCGTAAGGATTTGAACGAAAATCCCCCACAGGAAAACTTAGAAGGAAACAGTACAAAATGTCTCTTACTTACCCATAAAGCTTCGCAGATGACAAGGAAGGCACCGTGGCGTCCACCTCCATTGATTCCATTTTGATTGGAGGTATTTAAGATGGACCGGGTCAATACTAAAAAGCTGGAACCACCAAGCAAAGGGCAGCGACTTGTTTTGTAAATGTGTGCAATTTTACGTCGAAAGTGCACACTCGGAACAGATACAGAAATACAAAATTAGTGCCCTCATAACTCGTTTCTTTCTACTCTTGTTTCTTTTTTTTTCTTGTTTGTGGCTGGTAAAAGTCATCGCTTATTGTTCACTAGTTTGTTGGTAATGTTATTATATATTAGTTTGTGTTACTGGGAGGTTTCTTGCCAATTTGATCTTTAACGCACCCAATTAAATTGAAATTTTGAGGTACGATGCGGTTTTTTCTTGATACCTATGCTTATATCAGGTTCATTGAATTCACTTTCTATTTTTAACATGATGCCTAGTTCAAGTAATTGATCAATCAAATCAGTCAATTATGTCATCCTTTTTTCAAAGTTTGTTCTTCAGGTCGTCATACTGTTATGTCGCTCGTTCTGATTATGGGATTACCAGCAGCTGGAAAATCGTCGCTTTGCGAGAAAATTCAAGAAAACCACCCGAATGCTGTCGTCTTTTCGCTCGATGAAATAAACGGGCGCTGGTCGGAAGATTTTGAATCACACGTTGAGCGAAAATCTTTTGAACGAACAGTTCGACAATATTTGGAGGCTCATTGTGATGAAGAGTTCGACAAGGTGGTCGTTGTTGACGACAACTTCTATCTTCGAAGTATGCGACGTCCATTTGAACGCATGGCGCGATCTTTTGGATTGCGTTATTGTTGTGTCCTGGTGGATGTCGACGTGCAGGAGGCTCTTCGGCGAAATTCACAGAGAGGTGCAGATCGCGTACGTGACGAGACAATCCTCAGGATGGCTCGGGAGATCGAATTACCAAGCGATGTACTTGTGTGTAAAGGTGAAGCAGTTGAGGAGATTTTTCAACGACTGTGTGGACCTCGACCTCAGCGCGTCAAGGCTGTAGAAGGTCTGTTACAGCCCGGAAGGTTATTCACTCCTTTCGGAACTGGATAGGCTGTTGCGCTCTGCGGTCGCTGAGGCTGTTCGACAAGGTCTCGATGGGAAACGTTTGGCTGCTGCAAAGAAAATACTAATGAATCGATGCCGGCATTCGAAGTGTCTCCTGAAGGAAAGCGACGTTGTAGAAGCGCTGAGGGAAGAATATCGCAAGCTGGAATTCAACGAAAGATGACGTCAGGTGAGTATACGTGGGCTTTTTCAACTTTTTTCTTCCTTGCTACATTGTCTTTTGGAAGAAGATGCCCCAGCGTAGTGGGTCGGCCTCGGGGAGAGGGAGGTACTCGACCGGGCCTCTGAGTTTCTTTGTCCTAACCAAGGCCTAGGGTTAGAAGGCAGATAGCCAGAGTCCCCTAGAGATAGTCTCATGAAGAAAGCAGTTTTCACTAGACCTTAGCTTTGGTTAGTGGAAGGAACGTACAGTGCTAAGAAGCTAGCAAGAAGAGTCCCATTTATTGCTTTCCCAACGGGTTTGGCGGTGCCTTTTTGAAGATTTTGGTATAGTCTCGTTGTGAGACTTCGTTGCACAAACAAATGGTGCGCGACATGTTTGGGGAGCGATTCTATCTCTCCCTGCTTCCGTTAGAGGCACGCTCCGCTTTCGAAAATAGCCAGTTGTGTAGCTCAAACATTGAAGATATGGTTGTAAGTAAAACAAACGTGAAGGAAAAAGCGCCTGAAATGGCCCATGTTGAACAGCACTTGTGCATGCATAAATAATACAATTTTCATGTGATTTTATGTAGTATCTTAATGGTTATAATCCTTTATACACTTTTTCTCTCCAAGTTTTAGAGAGGGGGGTGACTCAAAGAAGTAGCTTGGTTCCCATTTCGCCCTTGTCGGAAACCAAGCAGTTTGTGATATCCTCCTTTTAAGGATGTGGTGCCAAACCCGTTGGGAAGGCGATAAGTGGGACTGCATAAGGCGAAGAAAGGAGGTGGGCGGATGTGTTCTTACTTGTTGGTGTCAGCTCTTCCTCCTTATTACCAAACTGTAGGTATGTGACAAGAAAATCGTAATTCAAGACAACCGAAGACAGACACAAGAAAACCATCGTCATTCGCGGGCGTCGCGTGCGACGTCGCGCCCGTCAATGACGATGGTAGGTGGCGACAACAGGCAATTCAGAACCGAAAATAGTGATGAATAATTGCGATGCCGAGGTCTACATGAAGTTGCTCAATCGACAGGTTAACACGAGTTAAGAAAACGCCGCGCCCATCGCCGCGCGCGGCGGAGCGGCAAATTACGATTCTCTTGCCCGTCTCCCCCAAACTGTGATCAGCGAGAGAGAGTGTGCTAAGAGCGGAACAACCGCATCATCAGGAAGCCTTTGAAAATGGAAGTTGAGCGCCGCTATGGCCAGTGGGCGGAGACGTGGCCTTGTCGCGAGCAGGTCGCACTTTCCAGCGTGCCTTTATGGAGCCCAACATTCAGAATGGCGGCAGGGAAATAGGCAGTAGTCCAAGTCACACAGCACATAGGATTGGCATGGGATGTGCCTTCAGAGATTACGCTCATCTCTGGGAACGGTCCCTCCCAAGCATGTGAAGAAGGAAATGACAGCTGCAGAGCTGTAACAATTTCGTCACTTGAGAGCGCCCGGAGATAAGGCTGGAGGGGAGTGATACCCGAAGGTTTTTTGATTCCGCCTGGGTTATTATGTGCAGCACTTGTGTCAAACCACGCAGCGAATCCAGAAGTAGAAAACAGTTCGACGTGAGGGGGTACAGACTAGTAGCGCGTTTGGCTATAGTAAGGCGGGCGGGAGCGCGGGCGGATCCCAGAAAAGACACCCGGGTATCACTGCCTTCAATCCCAGCTCTCGTGCCCTTTCGAGCGGAGAAAGTGACTCGGTACTGCTGCTGCAGAGCCACTCACCTCGCTCTTGGCGAGAACAAGATTTCCGGAGGTAAATATACCGTTTTTTGTACAGTTTAATAGTTGAATATTGTTGTCGATTATTTTCCCGAGCATTTTGTCCCTCAGCGTGTGAGATCATTCTTATTTCAGGCTTTTTATATGGAGGACTTACATCCGTGAAAGCCAGGGTCGAAGGTATCGGAATCAGTCGGAACTGTTCTTGAATCGACTGCGACACATTCTGGAAGCGCAGGGCATTTGATATGGAGCAGCAGCACGCGAAAAATGTTCAATAGTTCAAAAACTGATAAATATTCGAAGAGTAAGGCAGTTTATAAGGCATACATGAACACGGTTTTTCTAAAGAGAAAATTTCTCGGAATAATGGCGGAAGTAGCATATATGACTGAGTCAAAGGATGAAAACGTCAAGCAAGACAAATTTAGGGGTTAATGTAAGCGGGAAGTGTCCACACTTAGGCAGCGTTCAGACTTCGCGACGGCAGCGCTTTGCTCGCGCGTTCGGCGCGATCGATGCGCATGCTTTCACATCAATCGCGTCGAACGCGCGACCGAGGCGCGCCGTCGTGAAGCCTGAACGCTACCTTGGTGACAGGGCTCTACCACATCAGGTCTGCCTGTCTGTGTCCTCTCATCGAGACAGTGTTCGGAAAAGTTCTAAATGGTTCTTTGCATTTGCGACATCGCGCTGACGCGGTGATCTGATGACTAGCACGAGAAGGTGTCAAGAAGAAGGTCTCGCCAAGCTGCGCTGAGTAGTTCGCCACTAGTTGTTCAACTGGGTAAACGACAACAGCAGGTGGAAAACGACTAACGCGAACGATATGTTACAGTCTCGCAGCTCGTCGAAAGAAAAAACAGTCGGACGCAGAGTCAGAGTCGAAGTCCTCCCACTTGACATGCTCCCCCCTATCCACAGCTAACAAGGTGGCACATATCCGACGAACAGAAACCAGGTAGTAAAACGATCACAGTCCGTGTCCCTTAATATGCCGAATCGCGTTCAAATGCCATAAAAGGTAGTGGAATAAAGGATAAAAAGGTGAGGCTTCCGCCGTTGATTACCCCTCTTTGGAATGAGGCCCACATCCTTCTTCCATTTAGAATCGCAGAGGCCAGTTGAATGCGATGTGGCTTATACAACGATTTGTGGAGACCAGCCAATCGACAACTTAACGTGTTTGTCCTCCCCAAATCCTCCCAAATCAAACCAAACTCTGATCCCGTAGAGTACGTTTTGTTGGGATGCGGGAAGCAATCCGTAATTTAACTCTCGGACGGCCTGGCAGGCGGGTGAGTTGCCATCACCTCCGCTATGGCAGTGGAATACAAGGCGCATCCCAGAAAGGGCTGACTGAGTATGTTTAGGTTTTCTATTCCTTACAAATCTGTGTTCGAATTGAAAGCGTGGCGCAACTTGAAGGGAACTGTCGACATTCAATGTATCCTCTTTCAATCTGAAATTAGCCAAGAATATAACCAAGAAAAAAAGGAACAAATCAGAATCTGAGCAATAAATGTTCATGACTAGGCCTTAGTAGAGTCCGGAGGTTAGTGTACGCTCGTTTTCTTCGTAATGGTCCATAAGTGCATTTCTTGAGATCACTGTGCGCAGCCCACATAAGATAATGGAGACTGGATCCAGAGTGGAGCCCCTTGATTTGTGAAATCGCGGCGTCAGTACGACCCTAACCCTCCTTCTCTATCCTAGCTACCATCTTGTTCCTGAGTTTTCCAAACTCCCTTGTTTTCCCTGTTTTTCAGGAAACTTCCGCTTTTACCCAGTAACTACCGTCGAATGGGTGGTTCGGAGAGGTCCTCATCAATCAGCTACTGATTCCAACTATGAGCGATAGTACTTGTAGAGTAGTTCCGCCAGCAACCGTGGGGAGAAGAATGCCAGATTAAGTGCGACCCCCGTTCCCCCCTCACCTCCCTCCTACCCGCTCTGATGAGATTCCTGACTGGACCCTCTGAACCACTTCTTCTACTTACCAGAGAGGTTGAGTGTTCAACCAGGTGCTGAGCGACTCGTTATAAAAAGGCTGAATAACTCGTCAAAAACGCGCCAAATTAAACCCCTTCATTCCCTTTTCAGTTGATCTCTCTTTTCCGCCGGAAACGGTTTCGATGATAAATACCGGCGAGTTGCACTCGAGGTCATTCAGAGTATAAGTTCACATAGCATTAGACCACACTCTAATTACTGTTGGTGATACTCACGGCAGCGAAATACATTTCAGCCCTTTTCGTCGAAATTGTCATTTCCCTTTTTTCTTTTCAGACACGGTGTTGAGCGCTGTGAACGCTCCGCTGTCAACTGTTAACTTTTGGGTTCCCTTAGGTATAGGTATTGGATGCTGTGAAATAATATAAATCTCAAGAAAAAGGCGGGGTATAAAAACGATCCTTTATTTGGAGACGTGTGTAATTGCTTAGACACCCCACCCAAAGACGGGTTCCGCGTCGAGATTATGGGCGGGGCCACTTATTAGAGTGTTGCACCACTCGTAGTATAAGCTCTTTCTTCTAGCAATGGGATGGCTAAAGATTATGATCACACCAATATGGGAGCTGCCAGTATGGGGCTCCATGACCAGAACGGGTGTGTGGCGATTCTATCGTCGATGATAAGTAGGTCGCCGCGCTGGTGGGCGCCGCGTACGAGTCCTGCTGCGTCGTTATTTGTTCAAAATTACTGATCCAATTTTGGGCTTTTCGGAACTTGTGAATACGCGGTCTTCGAGACTCATTTGTATGTCGGTAATGCAACTCCGGAATTGTCGCACCGCGCCGCCGACGTGCGACGTGACCTGACTTGCCGACGATAGAATCGCCCGGGTCCGACCAGAACACCTCCTGTCGCTGGACAAACGTTTTGCAAGATAGGACTTCCCATGCCTACTCCTCTCTCTCTTCCCACGGCACCTACCATCCTCCTAGGTTTTCCAGGCTTCCAACCACTTCATCGGAATCTTCCACGAATTTTCTCCATATTGCACCTGTGAAACCGCGAAAAGTCAGCAACGGGCAAAAGTTTTCTTAGGACCAAATACTCCCCCTTCCCTTCCTCCAGCAACTATGTACGTATCTCCAGTGGGGAATTCCCACTCTAAGGTCCGAGTGCCTTCCCCAACGCACTCATTGTGAAGCGTGCCGTATTCCGGGAATATGAGTTCTTCGAGCTCCATGACGACTCCTCATCACCTTGCCCAGTCATTGTCGTTTCAACTTCATATGGCCTTTCTAGCTTTGTTCTGTCCGTGGGTAAAGCGTGAAAATTCACTGAGAGATTTTCCAGTCAAGTTGAGGTCTGAAAGAAACTAGAGCAGAGGACGATAGCTTTTTTGGTTTATTCACTGACAGCTCGGTGTATTTGCACAGTGTTAGCAGCACTAGTAGACGTGGCCTAAGTGCTGATAACGACGCACTCTCGGGACCAAAATGCTGGCATCCGGCCATCTTATATTTTTATGCTTTTTCTCAGGTAAGTGACCTTTTTCCTAACTGTACTCTACTCTTTTTCCTAAGAAACTATGAGCTAGAGAGTCACTTGAAGAAGCTGTGCATACAAGTTTTCAGCTCCTCTCTTTTCTTCCCAAATACAATTGAGCGAAGTGAAAACGACAGAGAAGAAGGACGGTCAACAAAGAACTGATCAAAAATTTTATTAGAAGAAAATTTGCTGCGAAATCGGCAGGAACTTTGCAGCTTCCCTAATAAAGGCCCTAGAACCAGCTTTGAACTCCTTCTTACTTCACTATAGGGGTCACGCAGTGCTTCTTTCTGTCTTCAGTCAAAAAGTGGATAAATGTGTCGACC